CTTTCTTTTGAGAAATTTTATTACCCTCGGATTCGGTCAACACAGCGTCTTGAGTCAACTTCGTTATGTGGATTAGTTTTTTCTTGGTGTGGTTGCTGTTGTTGAAGAAGTTTGAGGACAAAATTAAAATTTCCGATTAGATTCGTAATAACAATAGTTTGATGCGTTGTCAATGATAGGTGATGATGCGAAAATTATTTTTAAGCTCTAAAATCTTGTAATTATTTAATGAAATTGGTGGATACAGTAATAAGAACTTAAAATAAATCATGAAGAAAGCACACTTGTAAGGAAAACCTACCGGTGTCAATAGAACATCTAATACAGTCGCCGCCGTTGCGTTTGTGGAAAATTTCAAGTTTTAATTGATTTATCTTCGGTTTTTATAGCTACTTATTAATGCTATTAGGCACCAGGACGTTTTGCATTTGTATGTTAAAATATTAGCCTTCATTTGACCTTTTGCTTTTGTTTTGTCATGGGAACGGAGTTCCCCATGATATTACAATCGTTCCGTTGCTTTCGCTATGGGATTCCCTATACCTCTGCGACCTTGAGCGTTTCGCCCAGTCTTCGATTTTTGGTTGATTTTCCGATGTATCAAAAACCGTTGTATTTTTTAGCCAATCATGTCTCTACGTCAAGTTGTGTTGATTTCTAAAATTCGCTTTCAGCGAGTTTTTTTCCACCTTGAGATGTCGTGTCTGACTGGTAAATCTGCGCAGAACCACGAAGTTCCGTTTTTAGGCAAATTCTTTTTTTTGGGAGGTTTTCATTGGCTATTTTTCGCCATCAGTTTTCTATTCGTTGGTGCAAAAGATCGCCTACCTCGTTGCTCTTGAGAAGCCGCCATTATCCCACCTCAAATTTTAAACATAAATATAAAGAAATAATAACCATCGTACAAAGCGGAAAATTGTTCTGGAGGACCCGTTACGGATATATGAGCCAAAATCAGAACTCGATTGATGGATTTAATCCATGAATACAGAAATATTGCCTCAGTTTACTGCCGCGATAGCAAATGAATAGGTACTGAGATGAACCTTGTGACACATGAAAGCATAGGCAAACAATGTCTCACAGAGAAATGCGCTTAATCCGCTGTCTCTTAACAGCAGTGGCCGGATGTCAAGGTCGTCTTTTGTGAAGCCCCGCTCAGCGTCCGAGATCACTTAAGTGTTCTCTTTTTCTCCATACATATCTGAGCAGCGAAATAGCTCAATTGGCTGCGTTACCGTTCTGTCTCTGGGAAAGTGTCACTTTTTGTGCGAGCGGGGGTTCGAATCTCGCAGGGGACAGTTAATTTTTACTGGTTGTATTGAATGTTTTAGACCAATCATCTAACAATAATTAATACTTGGCAACTTAGGAAGCACATAGGTCCCTTATGATGCGTATTCGGGCATATGTGTAGAGTAAAAATATCATACGTAGGGTGTCCCAAAAGTACCGGGACTGGTTCTGTAACTTCAAAAGTAAGATAGATACAGACATGATTTTGGTCTCATTTTAAAGATCAACTCAATACCTATCGATTAAAACCAAGATCAGCTCAATCGAATAAAAATTGACCGAGTTATGACAATTTGAAATTAGTGAGGAAAGTTTACCCCTACGGTTTTTAGGAAGATTTTTCGCTTACCAGGATTCAAAAAGTTAATATTCGTATCCACTTTCCTCCGAATCTTCCATAACTTCCTTTTGCTTTTCAAAGTACCGTCCATCAAACCGGATGCACTTTTTCATGCGCTCTTGCCACTTATCCAACATTGTTTTCCTGAATTCTTCCTCTGGGATGGAGTTGAAGAAGTTTTGAATTGCATTCTGGATTTCGGTCTTCGATACGAATCTTCGTCCGCGAAGCTCCTTTTTAAGCGTAGGAAACATCCAAAAATCACATGGAGCCAAGTCAGGGCTATAAGGGGGATGAGGGATTGTTTCAACTCCATTTTTACTCATAAATTCACGTGTTAAGCTCGATGTGTGAGGCCGCGCATTGTCTTGATGGAGTATCCACGAAGCTTTCAAGTCCGACCGTTTCCGGGAAATGTGCATTCTCAACTCCTTTAGTACTTTGCAATAATACGCACTGTCAACTGTTGTGTTTGATGGTACAAAATGTTGATAAATGACACCTCGAAAATAAAAAAACACAATAAGCATCACTTTATCGGCCGACTTTTCGATTTACGGCGATGAAGAATCTTCCTTAAAAACCGTAGGCGTAAACTTTCCTTGCTGATTTCAAATTGCCATATAACTCGGTCAATTTTTATCCGATTGAGCTGATCTTGGTTTTAATCGATAGGTATTGAGTTGATCTTTAAAATGAGATTAAAATCATGTCTGTATCTATCTTACTTTCGAAGTTACAGAACAAGTCCCGGTGCGTTTGGGACACCTTATGTATACTTTACGCCGAAAAAGCGAACCTGAAACTTAAATGCGTTAACTTCCGAAAACCATATATAATCCAACGAAAATAAATAATTGGTACATAACAGCTTTCTTGTATGCAAAGAAAATAATTAAAAATGTTAAAAAAGAGATGTCAACACAAAATTACATAGCCCCTTCAATTCAGAAGATACTACAAACGAACTGTACCTTAACATTTTCATATCCCAGAAGCTAACGTTCCCATGACGAATATTGCCATCGCTAGCGATTGCAAAATCCAACTTGTTTTGTTTTTTTTTGTTTTTTTGTTTTTTTTTTTCTTACGTATCGATGATGAAACTACCTGACCACGTATCCCGTTTGCGGTGTTTAAAAATCTCCACCCTCATTTTATTTGTTTGAAGGAGGACAAATCAGTAGCATTTCCTGACATTTTCAAAGAATTTTCTTCGCACATGGCAGGAAAAACATGGAAGTTTTCAAGAATTGACGTTAAGTGGTTTTCCGTCTTAAAAATGAAGTCTGATAGGAAGTTTACAACGTCGCAAACCGAGATACGTGGTCTGGTAGTGTCACCGGCAGTATGTTGTTTTTGAGTGTTGTGACACTTATTGTTTCGATTTTTTAGGAGTAAACAACACAAATTTACTACCAGATGATTCGGTTCAGTCTCTTGCTAAAAATGGCACTAGGAACGTGTAATCAAACATACACGGAGAAAAAAAACCTCGTGCGTGGGACCCGAAGTTTAGGTCGTATGGATCTCTGAAGTTTTCAGATTGGGCATCTGAACACTTTAGGTCTACCTGTCGAGGTTCGGATCACACATCTGAAACTTCAGTTCTTACATCTGAAGTACTTCAGTTTATCAGGGGGAAATAGCGAAAAACAAAAACATAAAAAATGAAAAACTGTAATGAGCGAGTGACCCGCACCTTGGGGCTGATGCAGGAAATAAATGAAGTTTTTCGGAAGTGAAAACCGAAGTACTACAGATGTAAGAACTGAAGTTTCAGATGTGTGATCCGAACCTCGACAGCTAGACCTAAAGAGTTCAGATGCTCAATCTGAAGACTTCAGAGATCCATACGACCTAAACTTCGGGTCCCACGCACGAGGTTTTTTTCTCCGTGTAACATAAATTGATGCATATCTCGATGCTTGATAACTTCCGTCAGAAATTCTAAGTAAATTAAAGATCGCACTCCGAAAAACCGTTCGAGCTAGTCATGTTTTTGCGCGGCTATTTGAATTTGCTCGAAGAAACGAGTTCTCCCGGAAGCCGAACGTAATTGGTGTCGGATCCTTCGCTCGCCGACCACTCCAGACTCGAGTTGTTTTCGAAACGAGCAATTAGACCGGATATCCGTGATGCGGGTTTGATTTCCGGAGCCGAAGTATCCGCAATTAGAAGGAAGTGGCGCAAAAGGCGCCCCGGAAGGAGTAAGAAATTGCGAGGTGGGGGGGGGCGGTTGCAGGGTAGACAGGGAGGGGGAAAAATGATTAATCACCGACAAGGGAAAGAAATCGTAGAAAGATCAACAACTTGCCGTTTCCTTGAAGAATTTATAACTTTTACACTCGGCTGGCCCGTATTTTTATCGAATTAACATTCGGCGCCCCGCTCTCCCGACACTCCGTCTCCGCTCCGCCCGCCGCTCCTCCTCTGATCCGAGTTGATTAATGAAAATATGAGTCAACAAACGGAGGCATTAACTAATTAAGTCCCTCGTTCATTGAGCTAACTAATTGTGAAATTACTTAATTTCATTTAATATTCCTCTGTCTAATTTTTGTGTCCCGCTGGTATCCACTTCAGATTGTCCCGGTGAGTGTACCTATATCGTCCGAAGAGCGATAAAGGATTAAGTTCTTGCACACGGCGGGAACTTTCAACTTTCTCATTTGTTCCTGCGTATTTGGCAAGAAGCGGGATGGTGCCACAGCTCATCGTTTACCGAACGAAGGAACGTAACTCCATTCCAAGGTTGCCAATTTGACTTAAACAAATAACTTATTTTACAAAAATATGATACCTCATCAAATGAATGGAATCGTGTTCATTGATCATAGTAGCCACGTTATATAAAACCTTCGGTAGTGAAATTCCGTGAAACGCACGTAGAGTACGAGGAGATAACTATTTTAACTCTGAGGCTTCGATTTTGCCTACACGACGAAATGCAGGCATTTCCCCGTGCAAACAGCGATCACATATTCCGGTTCATATCCTGGGATATTGTTGCAAACTAGATATGTTATTTGGCTATAGTTTCTCATACCGTAAGCCTCATTATTGGAAGGACTACGTGCATACGCACACTAGTGCCAAAACATTAGCATGCTATGAAAGTAGTCAAATGCGCTTCCCAGTCGAAAGACCCCTGTTGCTCTATTAAGTGGTGATCCTCGCTTGGTATTGGTAATTAATACATAGAGTTGCATTTGAAAAAAATACCTGGAAACTGAAAAAGACACGTTTATAGAATCTATGTGTGCTGAAATTGTGGAGGTGAGTGGAATGACGTAACGTGTTGTTAGAATGTTACGAAAAAAAATTACGATATATCGTTCGAGATGACGTAATTTTGGCTTACCTGCGTAGAAGTAGTTGGCTCTCTCGTGGAAGTGATGGTGACGCATGCTAACGTCATCGTCTCCTGGTTGGTGGAGCTGCGGGATCAGGTTCAACCACACCGCCATTTTGTGACCGCGGTAGTGACTCTTCATTTTCGGTTTAGCCGCTGAAACAAATGAAAGGCAAACATGTTGGTGAGTACGAGAACGAATTCCAGAGGTTTCATTCCTTCATTTAGAAAAACCAGGCAATTCCCCTTTAAGAATTAAATTCGAGTTAAAGGCACAATGTCTATGCAAAGTTTTTTTTTTGTTGTTTTTTTGGGGGGGTCGAAAATCAATTGAATGACCGAATGGTTTGAAATTCTTAGTGGACGTAAGCAACTTGGGAGAGGGCGATCTGAGCTTTGCTTATGGGGTTTTACAAGGAGAAGGGGCATCGCACCCAGGCTTACATAAGCTTTCCTCTTTAAAAAAGAGTAACACATTAAAAGGAAATAATTCTTATCAGCTATTGTTCATGTTTTCAGCGTAGCTTTTAGGAAAATCTAGGGGGAGGGGAGAGTGATCAAGCCGGGGTTACGTATTACAAAAGAATGGTGGCACGTTGACTTATGAATGGCTCCCAGAACGGGGTAGGGTCAAGCAGTTGGCCAAAATGGCTTGGGTAATACTTAAGCGGTCCTTCATATGGACGAATTTCTATGAAACGAAACTATGTGCAATATGACGTGAGCCCTGTTATGCATATATTCTTATGGGTCTCAGGGCTTATGTCATAATGCACATAGTTCCGTTTCATGGAAATTCGTCCGTATGATAATCGTGGAACTGTAAAGATTAACCGGACAATATGTCAAGCCGAGCAAATCTTACTCTATATCAGTGGTGTGTCGTGCTTTGCGATATATCGATACATCTGCCTTTTAAACCTATGGAAAAGGATCGATAAACGGGGTATCCGCAACGAACATCTTGATTATCGATTCTTCATCACAGTTTCATATGAGGAGATATCGATAATCGATCGTTCACGCCTCCCTAATGCTCTACATGATAAAATCATAAAAGTAATGCGTGTCGCATAACGCATGAGGCGCGAAGCGCTTCGGTAGGCTCCGAATGCAAAGTTGTCAGGGGGCGAATGCCCTTTATTTTCAATTAAAAGTCTTGCAAAACGTTGCAGTAACATTGTGTTTTCCAATTGCGCCATCAGATTGAGAATCGAAACGCAAATGTTCATTTTCTAATACTGGTTGAAACTTTTTCCATGCCAAGGGCTACCCTACGATTTTGAAATTTTAAACCCGTTTATTTGATACCACAAAATCATTCGTGTGGTGTCCAGTGTCATCACTGGATATTTTCGTGTACTATACCCTTGCAGTGGCGTGGCGTGAATTGCGATGTATCGATTGTTGTGCCATTTAAACCTACGGTAAAGAATCGATTATTAAGGTGTTCGCTGCGAACACCCTGTTTATCGATCCTTTTCCATTGGTTTAAATGGCATAACAATCGATACATCGCAATTCACGCCACGCCACTGTATACCCTTGATTTTGAAACATTGCTCCGAAACGAGGGCACTCTTCTGAAAGAGGTCATAACCGTGCAAAAAACTTGTTGATTAACTCTAGTTTGATTTACCACGGCTGCAAATTCGCGGGAGAGAAAGCTTGGTTTATTGATACAAAAGCAAGGCAAGTAATTGAATCAAACCACCCCAAATTGAATCAAACAGTCGCCAGAGTTGTTAATAAGTTTCGGTTGATTCAATCATGAGTCGCGCCAGGAACTCGATCAAATACTTGTCATTTGATGAGTCTGCGCTGGTTGAAACAGTAATTAATCATTTTAACCAACTCTTGAGTTTTGACTTCTCAGGTTTTATGTCTGTAGAGGTGCGGGGGAAACTTCACATCTTTGGCCAGTTACGCTTCTATACTTTGTACGATTTTTTGCAACATTAAAAAGTTAATTTTGTGTGGAAGCTACAAAGCGCAAGGCCATTCTTAAAGTTTAAAACCATTGATAAAGTATACTTATTTGTACTACATTTGACCTGATGCCACAGATCCAGCAAACACGTTTTAATTTTTGTTGACAAATAATGTACATATAAGTTTTATGGGTATAGTCAGATTCAGAAGCAAAAAATTACACAAAAATCCGAAACATTATAAATTTCTCTGCCAAAATATTCAGACAAATGGAAAGAAAATTTCAGGCAAATTTCAGAACAAAGCTCAGAGCTCTCGATTACCATACAATTGAATGTATGCACAATCTTAGCAACGTTGACATGGGTAGAGGCTGTTCGGTCGGAAACGTCCTCATACGTTGGATTATTATCATTTTGTAATGATAAGTAGGTGCGAATAATTTTGAAAAGCAGCAAAAGAGAGACGTATTTTTGCGATTTCCCAGTCAATATGCTAAAACTTCGAAACTCTTTATACGAGGTGGAAGGGGGAGTAAGCTTTCGTCGGCTGGAGTCGATTAAACGATCCCCGTCTCTCAAGAGAACCCGAAACGGCGCAAGCGACAAAAATGAACCGTAACCTTTCAAAAGCCAATTGTTCTGTTATAATTTTTTCGCCCTCTCCCAATTCCACCGGAGAAATTCCTGGAAAACCACCCGACGACCGCGTCACAGGGGCTGGACGGGGGCGCAGGAGGGGGGGGGATTCAACCGATGCTCCCCATGGAATTTAATAACTGTCCCACTGGAATCCGGAGTCGCCACGCGATAGGGGAAATCACATCGTTCCCCGTTAATCAAAGGGATTTGGGGATGTTTTCGTGGTGGAAGGGCAACTTCGCAGGGGACCGACCGAGAGCTCCCGAGTGCCTTAAAACAACCCGCACCGGACTTGCCTCCAATCCCAACGATGTAGGGAGGAGATAAAAAAAGAAAGAAAAAAAAACATTTCTTACGATGTAATTATTCACGGGGAGGGGGTTTGAATTTCGATCCCCTTGTACCTTACGACCCCGGTGGCTTATTTTTGCTTCAAATAAGTGCCTCTCTGCGCTCTACGGACGCAATTAGGGGTGCCAAGGGCTTTGGCCGGGTATGGCTGTTCGCAGTCTCCGTTTTGAGAAAAAAACTTCGTGCTTGGGACCCGAAGTTTAGGTCACATGGATCTCTGAAATTTTCAGATTGAGTATCCGAACACTTAAGGTCTAACTGTCGAGGTTCGGATCACACATCTGAAACTTCAGTTCTTACATATGAAGTCCTTCGGTTTTCACCTCCGAAAAACTTCGGTTCTCACATCTGAAGTACTTCTGATGTAAGAACTGAAGTACTTTAGATGTAAGTCTGACCTGAACTTCGGCAGTTAGACCTTAAGTGTTCAGATGCTCAATCCGAAAACTTCAGAGATTCCATATGACCTAAACTTCGGGTCCCACGCACGAAGTTTTTTTCTCCGTGCAGTAAAAACAAAGAAACAATTTTATTTTGGAATGGGACCGTTTTATTACTTCCTTGCTCTCCTTGCGGATACATAGGAAATATTGTCATTAAAAAGGCGAGATTTCATCATTTCTAGGCGTTTGAAGATGCCTGGAGTAGAAAAAAACCAATTTGAAAAAAATGTGTGTCCCTCCGCCCGAAGTCCCCTAAATGTAAGTACAACCATATCTCAAAATCTATCTGTTCAATTTTATTTAAACTTTGCATGGAGGATCATATCTACGCACGTCAAGTGATTTTTTTTCTCCTCAATGTCCAGAGGCAGTATCTCATCAACTAAAATTTAAATATTATTCATTAAGTTTTGTCTCGTAAGTTAAAATTAAGTTATTCAAATGTGTAATGTACATCTAAAGGTATATTTTGTACGAATGGTAATTTATTAAAAAATAAAAAAAACCCGGCGACTTAGGTTTTAACTTAAGTTCGGATAACATACCCGAGAGAAAAATGGTTTAACAGTAAGCTTGAAACAGTCAATTCGACAATAAACGTTTCCGTGACATTTTATTCCTTGCAGATCTATTCACGCGGCTACATCCCCTGCGTGCATCAGAATCATTTTTTGGAACTATATAGGGCTTTTTTATTATCATTCATACGATGTCATAAGAGGGTATTGACGCAAAATGACGTGCATGATTGAATCACGCATGAACTAGACACTTATTTAGTAACACGGGAATTTTTTTCTCCCCACCTTTATTTCGTGACTTTTTGAACGTATTTTCCCTGAGCAGAGAGCATATGTGAGAGGGGGCTTTTCGTCGCCTTTCAGACTTAAAGCCGCACTTCAATTTAACGTGTGCCTCGGAGAGCATGTAGTTGTATGGGCGATAGGGCTCATGTGGAAATGAGAGTACGCCTTCGTGTCAGAGGAGCGACAATTTTTTGCTGAGAAACAAGTGTCAGACAGGAATCGTGTAAAAAAGGCGCAACTTACACTATCTATGCACGTCAATAATTGAACCACGTTAAACAGAAAGAAACCAAGCCACATCAGCTGTTGCCGACTTTAATTTGGCAATTTAATTTTTTACATGAAAACGGTTTCGCAGATCTCGTGCAAATTTCGGTGAATTTTCTCCATAATACGAAGCAAATTCATTAAAATTTTCAGAAGAATCCGCACAAACACTCTCTCGTTAAAAATTTAGTTCCCCTGCGTCAAATTTGGCAATAGCTGATATGGCTTGGTTCCTTTCTGTTAAACTCGGTCCAATTATAATTTAAAATCTAGTGCTGTCCTTGGCTTTACCTGGAATAACGTGTGTTTCGATATTTCGCTACTTCTTTGGCAGTGAAATTCAACCCGAGCGCGTTTGGTAAATTCTGTGGTTTCCTTCGTGAAGCAATATGAGATGGTCTCAAATCTGTGTACTAGTGCTTTTCACGATGCCGTTGGGGACAAATACGGTAAGAAAATTACCTTTCGTCGGTGAAACTGCAAAATACGTAGCTCGGTCCAAGACGCTACAGACTTCCGGTCAATTTATTTTTCAAATGGAAAAACACTCTTCAATATTCGAAAACTTCCTCGATTTTTTCTCTCTCTGGGCAGTTAACAGCGATTCTGTGAAAATTTACGGCAATGGTATTTCTTTGTCCCTTTTTGGTGAAAAAAAATGGGTGTGAAGATTTTGTAACACCGCAAACGAGTTATACGTTTTTGCAGTTTCACCT